TAACCACTGGACCATGAGGGAAGCCCCTTAGAGTTTTTATTCAATGCTTTTTTTTTTTAAGTTTATTTTATTTATTTTTATTTTTGGCTGTGCTGGGTCTTCATTGTTTGTGCACAGGCTTTCTCTAGTCACAGCAAGTGGGGGTTACTGTTCATTGCAATATGTGGGCTTCTCATTGTGGTGGCTTCTCTTGTTGCACAGGCTCTAGGGTGAGTGGGCTTCAGTAGTTCCAGCTCTCAGACTCTAGGGCACAGACTCAGTTGTGGCACACGTGCTTAGTTGCTCCATGGTATGTGGAATCTTCCCGGACCAGGGATCAAACCTGTGTCCCCTGCATTGGCAGACAGATTCTTATCCAGTGTGCCACCAAGGAAGTCCTTAGAGTTTCATATAATAAAAAGGTACATCTCCGGGTGCCCTCAAAACCATATGTTCTGTGTCCACAGTAGAGGCTCTGATGCTTTTAAATGCCTTAAAAATTTGGTCATTGTTCAGAACATCTTAAAGGCTATGGCACATGCCTCAATATGATAACTATTTTTATTTTAAAGATGAAGAAATGAAGGTTTGGAGGGTGCATGACTAGTTAATGGGTTAGATTGAAGCCCAGGCCTCCAGCACACTTTCCACCTGGTAAAGTTGTCTTTCAAGGAGCAGCTGGTCTATAGTTAATTCTTATTTTCTGTTCAAATACTTTCTTTTGCTTGGAATGCTATCAATACCTTTGCAGTCTGACCCCTCAACATGGGCTAAGGCTAAAAGCAAACTAGCATTCTGGGGTAATTGACGTCATTTTGAAACTTGCATTCTCTAGATCCACTTGAAAACCTGCTTTGTGCTTCCATGTACTTTCTGTTAGAAAAAGATTGGCAAGTCAGCTACTGACTGTAATCCACTATCATAAGAAACAGAATCTCTTGAACAGAGAGACAAGCAGAGTTTTGTAAACCAAAACAAAAGACTAAGATGAATGTTTTCCAATGGGTGTTTCTTTAGCGCTGTCTCCCAGATTTGGCCTTTAAGCCACGCTTTCAAATATGACAATAGCTGATGGGTTATTTTCATTCAGAAGTTTGACCTGGCAGTAATGGCAGTAATGTCAGCTGTCACTGAGCTTCTGAAAACATAGGGTCATATTATGTCCTTTATCTTTGGGTGACCTCCAACAGATGCATCACTGTGATTTCAGAGATAACCAACAATTCACAGGTCTAGCATTTATAAACTGGTGGGTGGGAAAAAATAGGTAGAGTAGATTTTTAAACGAGCCGTTTAAAGAACAGTAGGTGGGGAAATCTTGCATAGAAGAAAAGACAATCTAGTAGATACTCTATTATCTTTGTGTTCAAGGTGGAGCTCGATAGCTCTAAGTTACTTTGGCATCTAATTCAATAGACTGAGAGTTCACAGTTGAGGTCCATGGGGCATTGAGCTGATTTACCAAAATGTCAAGATCAATTTCACTGAAATGTCGAGATCAATTCTTACCCCAAGATTTCTCTGGAAAAGAGAATTTAGGAAGGTATCCATTTTAAATGAACATAAAAATTGGCCAGTAGGCTATTGACAGTGGTAAACTATCTTAAGTGCTGACCTCTTTCTATTTAGCCCCTCTACATATAATTGTGATTAAAGTCCAGTCAAGGGACCACATATCACTTTCTGTTTAGTATTACATTACTAAATAAATGTAATGTTTGAAAATGTGTCTACTATATGTGCCAGGTATGTGAATATATGTAATCTTTGTATTATCCTGCTTCTCTGTATCATTGTCCATAAATTTTTCATCCTAAAATTTGTGGATGCACCTGGCATGCTTCATTCTGGGAGAGCTGAATATCTTATGCAGAGCCAGCTAGATAAATTCTTATAAATTCTTCTCACATCTTAAGATGTGAGACCAATAAATAAGATCCCCAAGACAGGTACCCTACCACTTGCTTCCTGTTACCTAAAACACCTGGGAGTACACACCCCTCCAGAGAACCAGAGTCAGTATCCAAAACTGTTTGACCATATTTATGCATAAAATTGTTTCAAGCTTAAAGTTTGTCTTCCACTGTCCATATTTCTAGTAAATAACCTTCCAGGGTTATTTGGAATGTCTTTTAAGAACTACAGAAGTCTTCATACCTCAACTCAGTTCCTATTCCCCATCATGATAATTTTTCTAAGGAAATTAAATATATTGATAAATATCTCATCTCCGTGTGTTTTGTAAAAGTGAACAATCAGAAACAGTCATATAGCCAACAAAAGGAACATGGTTGACTAAATTATAGAATATCACTATCTATATAATTACAGGAACTATGTGGCAGCATTTTATGATAGAGTTAGTGAAAAGAGTAGTTTAAAATTGTATCTCTGTCATTATGGCAACTGGGTACAAATGACATCACCAGGACCAGAGGCTGGAAAGCAATGTGAGGCTGTAAGTGACTTTTCTTTCTGTTTGATTTCTGTTTTGATGGTGGACAGGGGTAGAAATTGGAGTGATGGATGAGACTGCAGAGCTGAGCAGAGGCCATCAGTCACAGAAAGAGGGGTTTATGTCCAGCTTGAACTTCATCAGATTTGTGCTTTGCAAAGATTGGCTGCCGTATGAGGCAGGAGCTTGAGCAGAGCAAGAGTCACTGAAGACTGACCATTTGGCGTGCCTGATCAGGGCAGTGTTTTCATCACAAGAAATATGGAGAGATTGAAGGCAGAGGCATCCATTCTGCTAGCACCTGCCCTAAAATACCCCCTCTGCACTTTAAGATTCTTGGAAAATGCTTCAAATGTAAATTTTATTCTACATACGTATCCATCCATATGCAAATCTTTTAAAATGAATGCATATGTGAAACCCATATGCTTCAAGAGCATTTGGAAAACCCTAGCTGAAAATAGTGACAAAATTTTAATGGTAAAAATCAATACGATCGCACATTCTTATAGAATGTTTTATTGGACTTGTCATGCAGTTTCTCTGAAGCCTGGCCATCTTAAGATGATCACATTGTCATGGAATTGTTTTGCTATTGCATCTACCAAGTGGATGCTGGTTGAGTATTCATTGCATTTACATATAGTTACATTTCTGAGTATCATCCTAAAGTTTATGTCCTGCCTGGTTCCAGAAGGAATTTAATGCACTGACTTACAAATCCTGCATTTCACAATGTTCCTGATCTCTGACTCCTCTTTCTCCCCTTCTCCTCTCACTGTTCCTTGAGCTAGCGTGTGTCTCCAGTCTCTACACTCCATTCTGCCTTCTAACTCCTTCCTTACCACCACCCTAGTTCAAGCCTTTATCATATCATTCCTCACTTCCTGGTCGCCTTACAAATATTATCACCTTAGTTTCCAAATCTGTGGTATGAAAAATTGGATGAGATTTCGGTGGATGCAGTTTGTAATCTATCGAGGGATATGCAAGTGTTAGTAGTTGTTATTCTTTCCAGTTTTAAAATTCAGTGATTTTGTGACAATTAAAGTACGAGTTGGCCAAAGAATTCATTCGGGTTTTTCCATGATAGTGTTCTGAAAAAACCTGAACAAATGTTTTGGCCAACCCAATTGGCGCTAGTGGTAAAGAACCTGCCTGCCAATGCAGGAAACATAAAGAGACATGAGTTCGATTCCTGGGTCCGGGAAGATACCCTGGAGAAGGGCATGGCAACCCACTCCAGTATTCTTACCTGGAGAATCCCATGGACAGAGGAGCCTGGTGGGCTACAGTCCATAGGGTCACAAAGAGTTGGACACAACTTAGCACGCATGCAATATTTCATTTGAAAAGAGAAAATCACTCGCTGTCTTGCTTCCATTTTGTCTCTCTACCAGTAAGTCAGCACATCATTTTGTGTGAGAGATATAGGTTGTTTTAACTAATGAGACAGTATGCTTTTTATGCCCTTAAAAATTTTTTTTTGTATATGCCTTTTTAATGTGGTAAGAAAGTCAATGGAATAAAAGATGATTCAAGAAAGGCCACATGAGGCTTAGTAAATACAGGGAGTGTGCACCTATAAAATTAAACATAATTAACTACTCTATTTGCATAACTATGTCCCCTAACTACCACCTTGGCAGAATAAGCCCCTCAGTGCCTGAGAGATTAGTTGCCTACTGAGAATGACTTGGGGACCCTGCGGGGAGAAAATCAATAGCTTCCATACCACGGAAGCTGCCCCGAGAGGGGCGGCTTAAGAGCCACACAAATAGAGCAGAAACTTAGTAGAGATCGAGCAGGCAAGTTCTTGGCCAGATTCCCATTCTCACAGAGGCCTGATGCCAGCAGCTGATTTTCTGTGTAGAAGCTGATGGGTTATTTCACCCTGGCCCTAACCCTGCCTCTTCCCTTTGCCGATCATAGCCCACATCCTGTTACTCTAGTATCAGCAGGATTTCTTCCCAGATGGAACTGAAATCAACCACCATTGTGCCTGAGTGTTTCCTGATAGTCAGCCAGACCTTGAATATGGGGGCCCTCCCAGCCAGGGTCCCCTCTCACTCACCAGGGGTCCACTTCGCCTCTGCTTACATCAGCAAAGAAGCATTTCCCCAAGGGGAGGAACTGATCTTTGAAGGGTTTAACCTTTTGCAGCAGTTTAACCTTGGGGGTGGGGGGCAGGATGTGGTGGGGAGTTGTGAAGCCCTTTGAGAATCTTGAAAACACTGAGCCTTCTCCCCAGACACATAAGCTTCCATTCAAAACTTTGCCAGTAAATGTAGATGGTTCGGAACCCATCTGGTCTCCCATGTGGGAGACTCACAGAGCCCATATGAGGGACCCTGGGTTTCTAGAATGTCTTTCTAGTTGTGCTTTCAAATTCAGACATAACTTGCTTCTGTACAAAACAGTCCACAGCATGACACTTTTTAATTTGTGGCATTTCTTTATCGGTTAAATGCTACTACTGACTGTTTTAAGATTCTGGCTTGAAGCGATCACTTGGATAGAGAGCAGTAACGTCTAATCCTCCTAACACTGAGGTTTTGTGTTTCAGGTCCGACTACAGCCATGTGTCCTCCACCAGCAGTAAGTATGGCTTAAATGTCCTTCCTCTTTGTCTTGAGCGCCCGGGGTGGGCAGTCAGTCCCATTCCTGTATGTTAGAGAAGGCTGTCCATGCTTTAATAGTAAGAATCACAGACGGTTTACCAAAGAACGTGACACAGGATCCTGTAAATCTGGGAAGTAGAATTTGATTGTACCTTGACTTTAGGGCTAGACATGCCACTATTTTCCCTATGGAAATTCAGCCTGGAGGAACTAGCCCAGGCTTTATTTACCTGCATGCTTGGAAAATACTTTCTCTGGTAAAGCTGAGGTCATTCATTCATTCAACAAACGTGTCAAAAACCTACTATCTGGAGCTCACAGCTCCGAGTGCTTTCATTGGATCCATGAGGTGGCCCCAACTCCTCTGTTGGGCAAACTTCCTCCCATGTCTGTCTGTACCTGCAGCAGATGTCACAGGTGACTATTACGTATAGTAAAAGCCAAACAAACAAAAAAAGGGAGTGTGTTTATAAGCATACTCTGAGCATAGAAAAGATGCCTGTATTAAATATTATTAATAACTTACAAATCTATTTATGGGAAATTAGGCCTTACATCTAGGAGCAATGTGCAAAGATGAAGATCACTACAATGCCATTCAGATTAATTAAACACTTATTTTATAAACAAAATAACACAAAAATTGTCTTACAATAAAAGCCCTGATTTTTTTTATTTGAATCAGTAAACACTGAATTGTTCTGTCCTAGCTCACTGTTAAGCTCTCAATTCTAAATAGTTCCCAAATGGAAAGATGCTTAATTGGATTATTCTATTTATTGATGTTCTGGCTTAGTTTTTTCTTTGCAATAAGAGACTGTGCAGAAAGCTGTATGTCTGGGATGGTAATTTAGTGTCAAATTATATTTAGTTATTCGTATAACCTCAGTGAGCAATTTCTGATCATTTCAGCCAACTGGAGACCCAGCATTGCCCCTTAGTTATTAAGAACCATTAGTAATAATGAGATTAATGCTCTAGTGATCTGCATTCCCTCCCGGAAGCTTCTGCATTCCGAAAACCAGAGAATGTGTTCTCTCTCTCTGCTGCCATTTTCAGTTTTGCCCAGAGGCTACATTTCTTTAAGAATGATTTTTCTAAAATACTTGCCCAAAGCCTTTGTTCAATTTGTAGCTCTCAAATCAGTCCTCTGGGTCACAACAAAGCACCTCTCTTGTCAGTGAAACTGGTAATTTGGTTTGGGATGTTTTTCTCTCCATTATTTTAATTGCGATCTCTGAGTTGGAATTTTTCTTGGTGCAATTGGGATCAATAACCTTTTATTGTTGTTCCCTTTCTCTTTAAATATTTGGCAATTCCTGCCTCCTCCTTCAGTGTTGGGGCCTCTTGGTGAGTGAGGGTGTATACATGCATTTTGTATTTCAATTAGGAAATGTATTTGACCACCAGTAATAGAGAAAAATAATGACTTAAGTATGGTTTTCCTTTCCTTTGTTGTTGATCAGTTGCTAAGTCATGTTTGACTCTGTGACCCCATGGACTGCAGCACACCAAGCTTCCCTGTCCTTCACCATCTCCTGGAGCTTGCTCAAACTCATGTCCACTGAGTCAGTGATGCCATCCAACCATCTCATCCTCTGTCGCCCCCTTTTCCTCCTGCCCTCAATCTTTCCAAGCATCAGGGTCTTTTCCAATGAGTCAGCTCTTCGCATCAGGTGGCCAAAGTATTGGAAATTCAGCTTCAGCATCAGTCCTTCTAATGAATATTCAGGGTGATTTCCTTTAGAATTGACTGGATTGATCTCCTCCAAGCTACTGTCAAAGAGTCTTCTCCAGCACCACAATTTGAAAGCACTGATTCTTTGGACCTTCCTTATGGTCCAACTCTTATATTCATACATGACTATTGGAAAACCACAGCTTTGACTACGTGGACCTTTGTCAGCAAAGTGTTTTCCTCTAATTAAAAAAAAAAAGTCTGGAGGAAGCAATGCAGGTCTGTTATGCAGTCCTTGGATTTTGGCTTCCATCCTCAGAGTTGCCTCAAAGTTACAAAATAGCTGCCTCTGCCACAGCCATCACATCATTGTCCTGGGCAGCAAGAAGAGGTGAGGGGATACTGGTGGGCCCCTGGATGTCTTTGTCCTGTATGTTGCCTGAACTGCCTTTCCTCCCAGCTAGGACCATCAGTCCTGGCCACACCTATACACAGAAGGCCCCTTACGCATCAAGCCAAAGGTAACACAGTGGACCCTTTCTGAAAAGTAAAAAACCATGTTAAATCAGAGTCTTAAGTCTATCCTTTAAAACATAGGTTCAGTCGTGCTGCAATTGTAAAAAGTATTTTTCAAGTAGATGTTAAAAATAGCATTTCCTCACAAACTGGATAGTCACAATCAGAGGACTGAGCAGAAAGAAGGTTAATGATTTTCCTCTTACTCTTGAATGGCGCAGTTGCAGGGTCACTCCCCTCTCACAGCCAGCTTGGTGGCCGCATCCTCTGTGGGACCCAGAGGGCTCACCAGTCAGTCCTGGTTCCCACATGTTGGTCATGGAAGCACCTCCTGCCTGTTGGTCATTCTGCTGCTGTTCGTCAGCCCCTGTCCACTGGACAGCTTGTTTCTAAGTGATTCCTGACTCCTGATCAGGGTTTGAGCACTGGTACTAACTGGTCACTTTTAGGAAATGGACTTATCTGGGTCTGCAGGTGGTTCTTAACCGAATATCCTGATCCTGAGTTCACAGAGGTGTAAATGCTTCCTTGGGATGAGCTGGGGTTGGACTGTGTCTGTCCAGGGTTGGGTTTTGTCATTACTGGAGTGGTCAGGAGAGCTTCCGCCAAGAATACCACTCTATTGGGCCACCAATTTTCCTCTTAGAAAGAAAGCAGAGGATTCTTCCTCACCCTGCCTACCCTGATGACGGTAGAAGAAAGATCAGCCCCAAGAGAAAGGACCAAAGCAGTGATGTAGGGTCCAGGTGTCCTAGTCCTGGTTCTGCCATGAATTAGCTGTGTGCTCTCAGGAAAGCCATCTACCCTCTCTGAGCCTCAGTTTCCCTTTCTGTAGAATGAACCCCTGAGGACCTCTCCAAGTGCTCTGGGATGCTTGGATGTCACTGTCTTGGAAACTCCACTAAAAAGAGAGAAGGGAGGGAGGAAAGACAGCGTGAAGACTCAAGGACTCTGTACCTTTTTTCTTTGTCCTGGAATAAGAGTCCAGAGGGTGGGCATCCTCTCTGGTGGACAGTATCACTAACCCTGAAGTGAGGGTTGTTCAGGTCAGTTTGAGTTTCTGCAAGCTTCCTCTAAGTCAGTAGGGACATTGTGGTGAGGGCACTCAGATAAGTGGATAGGGGAGGGGAGAAGGAGGGTAACATACCATTGGGCATCTTCTTTTTTTAATCTTTTTTAAAATGTCATTGAAATATAGTTGATTTATAGTGTTGTGTTAATTTCTGCTGTACAGTAAAGTGACTCAGATACATACATGTATACATTACTCTTTTTTAATATTCTTTTCCATTATGGTTTGTCACAGAATATTGAATATAATTCCCTGTGCTATAGAGTTATTGTTGTTTAGCCGCTAAGCCATGTCTGACTCTTTGTGACCCCCATGGACTGTAGTCCGCCAGGCTCCTCTGTCCACGGGGTTCTACTGACAAGAATACTGGAGTGGGTTGCCATTCCCTTCTCCAGACTGGTCGTCTTGTTTTTCCACCATGTCCGGGATTAAAGAATTGCATTTCCATTGACTGTGTCCAGTCACACTTTCAACTCAGGAGAGTGGTTCAGGAGCTTCTTTAGTGGATGTTTTGGTTTTGTGTAGATAAATCTTGTCCTCATTGCAACTGGTCCATTTGACTTCTTTAGATTGATGGCCAAAAAGGCTTTTCACTTGTTTCTGCAAAAACTGTACACACGCTGAGCATTCAGGAGATCTCAGTAAAGCATGATGCTTCCTTAGGAAGTTGAGTTTAATTTATACTCTCAGAATTTTGGGCTTCCCTGGTGACTCAGGAGGTAAAGAATCTGCTTGCAATGCAGGGAACGTGGGTTGGGAAGATATCCTGGAGATGGGAATGACAACCCACTCCAGTATTCTTGCCTGGAGAATCCCATGGACAGAGGAGCCTGGAGGGCTACAGTCCATGGGGTCCCAGAGTGGGACATGACTGAGCAACTAACACTTTCACTTTCTCAGAATTTTGGGTTGGTTTTTTTCCCAGCAGCCTTGCTAGAAGATCATCAAGCTACTGTGTACAGTTTGCATTCTTAAGCGATTTAAATAAAAAGAGGAAATTTTATAAACAGGCTAAGATAAAAACAATCATTATGCCAAGGGGAAAATAAATCAACTGCATTTCCCATGATGTGTGATTGAATATTTCCATCCCAATAAAGATTATAATCATACTTGGAGAATTCCTCTTAGAAAATGCTGGGAGTTGGAAAATGATATTTTCAGGATAGTATAACATTTCTTGGGGACTTCTAGCCACAGGATAATGCCAGTAGGAGGTAGTCAAAGAATTCATGAGTCCTCTGTGTTTAAGACTCTTCTTCAAATTGTGCCTTTAAGACTCTTCTCCTAATTGTGCCTGAGACTGTTTTTTCTTGAAACTCAAGTAGAGTCATTAACTCTTCACCTGGTTCTTATCAACTGCCCATGACAGCAGGAATGCCTGGCAGTTCTGTGCTCTTTCAGACTTTTCAAAGCACACATGGCAAAAGATCAGTTGAAGTGATCAAGAAGGTGCTTGGTACTGCCCTGAGGAATCCTCTGTGTCTGAAATTATGGAGAAGTGGCCCTGAGCAGTGTGTTCTGCTCACCGGAGCCCAGGAGCATGTAGTAAGCTGTGCAAAAAAGGCACGTGTTATGGGTGTGCAGGAGTCACTGAATCTGTTTTCACCCATTTCTTCCCCATCTTCCCTGGCCCCTGCCTACGCCTCAGATTCCTGCCCGCCAGTTTCTCTTCCAGCTTTCTTTCCCTTGCTTCCTGCTCTGCCCTTCT